TTCAAAATTTATAACAATCTTAGACAGAAAAGTTAAAAGTAAATGCATCATTGAGTTAGATCGATACCACCCACTCGATCCCCTTTCTCTATAATTATAATGAGTATTTCACCCAAAGAGCATCCAGCAAGTATGTGTAATTGTTCAAAACACAACATTTTGCAAGGAAATCAGCTCTCAAGATTTCTTTACAACAGTGTGAACCCTTCAAAAAATAAACATAGATTTTCAGTGATTGCAATGGTAGATGAAGTCAGTGTGCAATACATGCACATGTACATGAGATATAAACTGATTTTTATAGTTCAATTGTTGATTTTTATCTGTGATCATAAATATGGTTTTTATTTTGTTGTCTCTCACATTAGCAGGAATCTCTTTTTTACCTTTAGTTTAAAGTTTCTCTTTATTCCTTGGTATTAGAATAGACATACACTGTAGTGCAACAACGATCCAGTTGTACACRTTGTATAAAAGTAGAAATTTTCCACAATTTAAGCAATTTTTCTGTCTTGAAATTATGGAATTATATTATAAAGTAAAGTGTACACATTTTGCATAACTTGATAAAATGAGAATAAATGATAGTTAATTATWTTTATTTTTTTACATATTAATTAATATGTTATTAGTTTATTTCAAAAGATGTGAATCTTACAAAACAATTTAAACATGATCATGATAGTTAAATATTAATTTTGAAATATCAAAGTTTTATAGGCCTCACCATGTCAGATAATACCCATAATTCTGGGATTAGATTTTGAGCAGCACTTTTTAACAGATGATATGTTTGTCATTTAATTGTTTTTTTTTTTCATCACAGCTACTGTACATGTACATCATGTTTCACTACTGACAGCCTACAGTAGTTCTAGAGACGTTAAATATGAAAATGACTTTGAATTCATATACAGAATGTCAGCTGAGAGTGTTTTTTATAATCTCTAGCAATTAGTGTGTTAATTCCTGATATTAGATTAAGTCTACAGTCCATTAAGTGTCGTCATTGCTATTGTGAATTGATAAACAGTATGCATTAAACTGCTAGCAATAGGAAGTAAAATAGACGTAAGTGAAAGATATTTATCATTGAGGTTGAGAGCCAACTAATGGCAGCTTTATACCCATTAGCATGACTCTAAGGTAAGCTAAATCACTGTTGTGTTGATTTACTTCAAAACATAAATTTTATTAGTCAAATATTGTCAGGAGATAAAGAGAAATCATAATCCAATTTGGCAAACAGATTTTAAGGGCAGTTTTATGATTTGAAGTGACTACAGGTTGAAAGCACAATTATTCAAACTACATGGTAGTTTACTTAATATTCATGATAGTATTGTAAGCTACATAGCTGAAGAAAGTGTTTTTAATCAATAGACTATAAAAAATACATCATTTATTTTACTTGATCATGAACTGTTTGAGAATTATCTAGTATATAATAGTTATATTGTTCTATCATGATGATTATATACTTCTAGTAGGTAGTTATTCTGAAGACGATATTAGGTGCGTGGAAATTTGTTTTGCTGTTTGCTTTGTTATGGTTTAAAATTATTTTACTATCAGTAACAGTACATATTATAGTCRTGAATGAGTGTGGATGAAATTTAAAAGCAAACACCTCATCATTAAATCTAGTTAAGGTATCTCAAATATACGTGTGGTAAATATTGTAATTTCCTTTTACTACATCTGCACATCAATCATGTAAAACTCATCATGGATTATAAACATACATCACTGAGTTGTGTGATTGAACTGCAAGTCTTTATGTGTACATTATTGTATGTCCATCATGAGAGGAAGTTTGAGTGAGCATAAAAAATATGTATTTTTTTCAAACAATATTTACTTTTTCTCCTGCTATTGACAAGAAACTTGAAATTTATGAATTTTAATTTAATATATAAATTATGATAATTTTTTTCTCATGCAATTGTTGATAGTGATTGCAATCATGTACTATTCATTTTTATCCAATTGCTATTTTAATTGGTATCTATTTCTCTCATTTATTCTCTGAACAGATCTTTAATTTATATTCAATCATTCAGTTTGAGTACACTTACAGTATTTTATTTGTTAAACTCATCACGTTGTCGTTATCATGAATCTGAATGATGTTATCCAGACATTGGAATAATTACTTAACCTACCTGTTCTATATACAAATGGGAGGGAGGGACCAAGAGTCGGTTTGGGCTGGGGTTATAAATGGCATGAGTAGTGACCGTGAATGGTTATTTCTARTTCAAACTATTATCAAGGCTAGTGATGGTATGTTTGGGTTGAAGTGGCTTGTGCAATAGCATGGTTTGGCTTTAACCTTCTTGCCTAACTTGAATGCACTTTTATGTAATATTGAGTATTATTAATTATTCATTTTGTATTAATTATTGTTTATAACATTATGGTATTTTTATCTACAGGAATAGATGGATCACTAAACAACAGTAATGCAACAACAGAAATCCCTACAGGAGGACTGTTAGTCAATGTTGGTACAGATAGTCAAGAACCAGACCCCCCTAGAGTGAAACAGACAACTGACACAGAAAGAAAGCTTGCAGCCATGGGCATCTCATCTAGCGCTGACTTTGCAAGCTATAACGATGATGACATAGGTGATGAYGACAATCAAGGTCACTCRCARGCTGTCACCCCCCTGGTGATGAAACCYGGTCGAACACCATCACCACTCCCAGCTGCACCACCCGCTTATGACACCTCAGCGAAAAAGGTAAGAAGATCTTTTGTTTCTTTTGACTGGTACAACCTGTCTTATCAATGAATGKCACTGTAATCTGCAAGTTGAGTCTATTATGAGCTTCCTTTGCTGTAATTGCACATCTTTGTTGTAATGTAGGGAAACCTTTTCCAAAAAAAAAACAGGCTGCAAAGGAGGCAAGAGGGTGTCACAATGATTTATTACAAAGTCAGCATTGAGTCAATAATGACAAATTAATGTTTTTCCAGGCAACTGAGTCTCCTCCTGTGACAGCTGCRCCAAGTAATGAACTTGAAATTGATGACCTGGAAAAGTTTGTGTTAAGGTTGGTATTGGCTTTTGCAAGTAGTACTGCACTAAGGGRACTCTGCCTTGAGAATGGGGCCTAGGTGGAGCTTAAGGGGAAGGGAACCTATAGGGAAGGAGGATTACTTTGCTCTATAATTTTGATGGCATCTTCAGGAATGAAATACCCTGACAGCAATGTTTAGCAACTTTAACTAGTAATAATATGATCAATGTGAAAAAAGTTCAGACTATACTTAGTCTAATTCATAAATGAATTATTATTATTATTTTTTTGTCAATTAATTAATTCCATATATCAGCTGTTAGTTGATGTATTTAATGAGAGTGTCCTGTCAATGTTTTTGAAAGAAAAAGTAAATAAAAATAGTGAAACATTTAGAATAAGGTGTTAGATGCGTGTTCRATTGGAGTGWGGTCCCTGGAATGAGCTAGTGGTAACCATGGTAACCYTGTCACGACCCCACCTAGCACTAAATTTCACATAGAAGAGGTTGGTTGAGAATTAAAGGCATTTTTGATAAAACGAATAACTGAAATAATCGCGTTGTGAATGCTAGAGATAGCGAATGGTTAAACTCATGGTGAGAGTCGGTTTTTGGCTGGCGTTATCGTGTGAGTATGTGTGATTGTGATTGGTTATAAAACTAGAGTAGATTGAATTGCCCTCTTGTACTCCTCATTAGCTAAGACAGCTCATGTGCATGGGTAGTAGGTGTGTACCAGTGCTAGCAAATGGTGTTTGGTKGAAGTGACATAGCGGTTATTATTCAGTTGGAGTGGTTTGAGCTGGCGCGATCATGTGAATAGCAAGTGATATGATAAGTTTTTGCTAGCATATATCGCATTGCCTGATTTATAATGTACTTTTGTTATTTCAGACCAGCACCTCAAGGTGTAGTTGTAAAATGTCGTATCACAAGAGACAAGAAAGGTATGGATAGAGGCATGTATCCTACTTACTTCTTACACATGGAGAGAGACGATGGCAAAAAGGTAAATATGTGTTTAATATATAGGAATCATGTAGCTGAAATATCCTGTAAATGCTACTGCATCATAATTCACAAAATATGCATTATTTTTATTTTGTTTGTATCAGGTGTTTTTATTGGCTGGTCGTAAAAGGAAAAAGAGTACTACATCTAATTACCTAATAAGTACAGATGCTACAGATTTATCAAGAGGGGGAGAGAGCTTCATAGGAAAACTAAGGGCAAATCTGGTTGGAACAAAGTTTACAGTGTTTGATCAAGGTGTCAATCCTAAGAAGGGTGGGGTCATGTCAGACGGTTCAAACATTAGAGAAGAATTGGCTGGTATCATTTATGTAAGTATTTGATAATACGCCAGTCAGCAATGATTTATGACAATAAATAGCATGGCTTTTACCCTGATTTGTTATCTCATGATTGGTTGGTTTAGGACACCAATGTATTAGGCTTCAAAGGACCACGTAAAATGACTGTAGTTCTACCTGGCATGGGTCTTGACCAACAAAGAGTTCCTGTTAGACCAAGATCTGTAAGTATCTTTCAAATCACCTACTCAGGTGTAATTATAAATTTTTGGGGGGAGGGGGGGAAAGGAGCATTTGTTATAATTTCCTTCCTATTCCCCCACGTCCCCACCACTCCTGGAGGGCCTGGCCACCAGCATGAAATAATTAGCACTGAAATAGATCAACTTTGACTTTTATGTATTCATAATTTGTTATGTAATACAGGAGGCTGAAACTATACTGGAACGACACAGGAATAGGCAACTGGAAAACTTGGTAGAACTCCATAATAAAACACCAGTGTGGAATGATGGTATGTTATACCCACCTCCTTATTTATTGTAAAATATCAATAATCTAAGTCATTTTTTTTATTTTGCAGATACACAGTCTTATGTTCTTAATTTCCATGGTAGAGTAACTCAAGCCTCTGTTAAAAACTTTCAGATTGTACATGATAGTGACGGTACGTATTTATCTTAAAAAGATAAAAATTTTATTTATAAATTATTGTCCTATTTCAGTATGACATGACATCAATGAAATGCTAAAAGAATTAATTTTCAAAAACTCATACATAATTAATGAAGTTATATACAATCAATAATAATATATCATATGTTAATTATAGTGGACTATATCATCATGCAGTTTGGTCGCGTGGCTGAAGACGTATTCACCATGGACTACAGCTATCCAATGTGTGCTGTCCAGTCTTTTGCTATTGCACTCAGTAGTTTTGACAGCAAGCTGGCCTGCGAATAGAATTTGTTAATAATGCTAAAATTGTACACTAACTTGTACATAGTACCACCAAAACCTTGAAATTAATCTCAATTATTATATTATTAGAAGTTCACATTATCAGCCACTTTAAGCGTCTGTAGGATCTCAGTATATTGGTTTCAATGAATTCATTATTAATAGCCTTCTYGGTTAATGATAATTTTTTTTAATATAATGATTTCCAATGTTTGTACACAATACTCAAGGAAAGTGATAAACAGAATATTTTGATACTCAATGCAAATCAGCTTGATGCAGGCTGTTCACAGGCTAATGCCAATTTGATGTCAAATATTTATGAAAGAAAGAACGTGCGGTACATTTAAAAAAGTTTGATTGAAAAAATTTAATTACTTGACATATGAAAATGAAATTCATTTCATAGCATTTACTTGCCTGGGTATTATATATTACATACTTACCGTTCATTAAGTGTTAAAAATAAAATTGAACCAAATAGGTGAGAGCAATAATATGCTATAATCCTTTGTTTCTTGTTGTCCAATTATACCTAGTGATAGTTTATTCTATTGCTACATGTCATATGGTAATGAATTCATTGATGACCTCGCAGTGTATGTCTAATTTAACATTATTTTTAGCAGATAATAGCCTCTGATAAATATTTATTGCTTTACTGACATGTAATGTGATTTTAAACTGAAAATAATTTAYAGTGGTTGATATAAAAGGTGACTTCCCCTGCTTAGAGGTAGTAAAGGAACACTCGCAGGACACTTGGATACATAATTATTAACAAATGTTCTGTCATTCATCAACTGACAATCTTTATCATCACAAGTCACTCTCATTGTACATTATCACACTGTCGTCGTGTGCTCACTTCTAGCCATACACTTAAGGCAACAAAATACCAATAATTTTATGTTCATTCTAAAATTTTAGATATTTTTAATGATTATAATTAGTGCACACACTAAATCTGTGAACATCATTTCATGGCAGTAACTGTACATAAACTAAATCACCATTATTATACTCAGACCATTCACTGTTTTAAACCTGTGGTCTTTTCTTACTTCATTGTTTTCTTTATTAGCTTTGAAACCAGGATTGGGCAGTTCTGAACTACTTGTAGTTTGAATAATAAGTAACTAGAAAGCTAATAGTGTTGTTTATAAGTGCAAGCAAAAATCAATCATTACTTAGAACATATTTCAATCATTACTTCGACAATAGTCACTAAAGTTCTTGTGATCTTCAGTCATTGTGGTAAATKTGGTCTGATTTAAATGAGTTTGAAACATTTTTCATCTAAGTTTTCCTTTCAAACTTGATCTGCAAAATATTAGAAAGATACATTTTAGAAATTATTAATCCGGCCCTTGAATCAAGAAAATTATATTTCATGTAATTTTATTACTTGTAAAATAATATATTCTAGTTCTGAATGGTCTGGACTATAGTACAGTGCTTTAGGTGTTAGTTTATCTCTCTAAAGTCATGTTCCAAATACAAAACCCACTTAATATCTAACAACTTAAAAGGTGGGTAACTTGGATGGATTTATGCACAATTAAAAGAAATTCATATCAAAACATATTAGCAAACAAAAATTAAAATTATTCTTTCGATAGTTTTTTTTAATGCTACAGATACTTACATTTAGATGTTTATTTCCTTTACAAAAACATCATGAGTATGAATTTTATTCACCTTTTTTAAGTTTTAAAATCTTTAAACCTAGCAGTGAGAAAAATTTGTGAATTCCTAAGTTTCTGTGTGCAATACATCTACAGGATATAATTAAAACATGTCTACAGTATATATTTATTATTTAGATATTATATAATTATTAAATGTTTTAGATAATGTTCAGATTCTTTACCAGCAGTTACACTAAAGTATTCAAATGATTTTCACACATACATTTCAAAAGCTAGTTTGTTGTTTGTAAATCTACATTGTTGGCCTAAATAATAAAAAAGAAAATTGCTATTAAATATTGTTTTTTTATCTSTTGAATATATTGACAGTTGTATGCTGTATAGAGAATACACTTCATGCATTGAAAAAACAATCGGCCGACTGGTTAGCTCAGTAGGTAGAGCATTGGACTTTAGTGCGGGAGGTCGCAGGTTCAAACCCCGGCCRGACCAACACTCAGGGTCTTAAAATAATTGAGGAGAAGTTGCTGCCTTTGTCTTTCTCCATCTGCAAATGGTAAGATCTTCTTGTCCTCTCGGATAACGACGTAAAATCGGAGGTCCCGTCTCAACACTTCACTCACTAACCTGTATTTAGAGGGACGTTAAAGAACCCACACCACTGTTCGCATAAGAGTAGGGAATGATTCCCGGTGTGTGTGGCTAGGCCTTASTGCTAACCCATACTAATTACTAACCCCTCATGATTGTAAGCCGCGTGGCTGCCAATTGCGGTCCGTGTGAAATGATCTATACATGTGAAGCGCCTTTAAGCTCAGAGTATATCGGCGCTATATAAAGCTGAGATCATCATAAACTAACTTAAAGGTGATAACACTTGTACCAGGCCTAGTGCCGCTCTTTAATAGTCACTAGTAAAATTTGCTATGCAGGTAAGTGGGGACAGACGGTAGCCACTACTGTGTTACTTTCCATATGATTAGTGACTGCAAGAATGGTACACATTCATAAAACACACATCAAGCTCCTACAATTAATCAAATTGGGTCAGGTCGCAGCTCCAAAGAACATTGCCGGTAATTGGTTAGCTCAACACAGAGTGACTCTAAAGAACGAGGCATAAACAATAGAGCCTATTGTGATCAAGGTGCCCAAYATGTGTTACTTTTGCTTCAAATTCTCTTTAAAATGCTATTGAACTCATCTTGGTGACAGATCTGTTACATTTCTTTTTTGTAATCAAAAAGTCAGTTCCATCACCTTGAGGATCTGTTGGTGCAATAACATGTTATTGTTCAGCCTGCATGCAGCCWGATGAAAAGTGTGTTACGAACATTTTGTTCAGCTGCACATAATGCTGCATCATTTTATGATTTTGCTAGTTGCTTCTCTACTTGAATGAATATTTCTTGTGGCTAACAGCAGAAAGTGCAATAAGGTATCCTTCTGGTGTAATTTACGATAGGCAGTACGAAAAAAAATTCAGGATTTATATTCAAGTTTAGATTTTAATATGAAGTATATTTACARGACGTAAAATAATAATATATTAATGACATTCTGCATCAAAACCATTGCAACTTTTCAGTTTGACGAATATCAGGGGTTTTCTGATCAGCAGTCTCTTTTGTTGATTSCTCTTCCTGCTTTGCAAACATATCAGGAAATTTAAAAGTACCCTCTGCCTGTAAAGAGTTGATTGAAAATTAATACTAATTTTGGCACTYTTCTGATATGAAAGAAATCAGATAGTGTTGGGATTCCTGTGTGCAGCCTGTTTATCCTTAATATCATACGTAAACGAAATGATGCTGGCATGCGTCACAAGATCCAGACAACTACTTCCAGATCTGATACAGGCTCAAATTGCCTGCTGGCTAGGAATTTGATTCCTTTGATCACTGATATCCATTTAATGACCCTCTATCATGAAGTAGTGAGTGTAGATGTTTTGCGATCATTGCCTTCCWSTTTCTACYCTGGTTCCAGAGGCTTGTTTTCTGTTCTTTTGGTTACTATGTTTTAAGCCCAAAACAAACCGATTCATGGGAACGTCTTGCCGCTTTGCAGCTCAATAATATAGTAATCAAAAGAGTAAAAGACAAGCCYCTGGAACCAGGGTATCCAGTTTCATATGTTACATGAGATAATGTTGACAAGAATATTTAACATAAACTTGCTAAGCTTTCAATGAAGTAATAACAACTGTAACGGTATTTACAGTATCGGGATACCTGTGTAGTCGGAGAGTTCACCATTGTTTGTATGTGTTAGTCCGATTGTGATATTAAAGGACAAGTTAGCACAACAACACAGTGTCTATTAACGACAGTCTAACGTAACAACAACTCTAGTTTCAAAGTTTCCGTGGCTAAAATGAACAAACAAATTCAAAGTATGCACTTCTTTTCAAAACAAAAACAAACAGTTAAAATCATCCAAGGTGATCCTGGGATAGCACCGTGACACTTACTAATGTGACATAAGCAACTTTATAGTCAGGGTACTTTTTCTTCACTATCTTGCTGCCTTTTTGCATCTTTTTAGTTTTACCTGATTACAACAATATTTATAAGAATATCAGTGAAAGCAAAATTCGCTCACCTAAATAAGCTTGTGAAATTGGATAAGGGGGTCATAAAAGCAAAACACATTTAAGCTTAAATTATGCAAATAGTACATTGATATCATACCTTCCTGAATTCTAGTATTAACTTTTGCWACATCAACATTGTAAATGTTCTTTAAATAATTCTTGACATCAATTTTAGACATACTGGAAAAAGACAACAAATAAATAAATTTAAGACTTAACTTAACGCTACTGCTGCCTGGATCACTGTCGAACATGCAAAAAAGTTAAAGTATTGTAATAATCAAACTGCTTTGCTTACTCTAGCGGAATATGAAACTGCACAACATTGTTATCCAGGTCTCTACCAGGTCGAACTATCTTCATAAACCAATTTGTAAGAAATATTCTCGATTGAAGTCGGGGATTCTTTACGACATGTCGGTACGCCATCTTGGATTTTCTAGACTCACACCTCACACGAAGTACCGCTGGATGCAACAATATTGGGATTCCTGTGCTGTTATAAAATATACATTGTACTAGCCTTTTTCATGTTTTAATTAACGTAGTAGATCAAATTGAATATTACATATTAGTTATCTTTCAAAACATTTTACGAGTATTTCCTACTCGTAGACTTACATGTACAAATTCTTGTKGGGATGTTTTTATCATTGTTTATAACTGGGATTCCTGTGGTTTGCCTCGCTCTGGTATCACTTCTCGGAAATCATTGTACGTAAAAAAATCGTAAAATTATGATGACGATCTTATGTTTGTTACAACTCTGAAATCCTCTTTGCGTATTCATTCTACATTTCTGCATGGAGGAAAAGGTCTTTTAGCGATCACTTTGACACTGTTATCAAGACAGAATTGGTAAGAGGGAAATATTTTATTAAGCTTACTTAACTAAGCTTATATTATTAGTCATTCTCTCGTTGCAAACTTAGCCCAGTCCGGAATGTCGATAAAGGATCCTAGACAAACTCATTGAGTTTCATTTTGTTGAAGCCTTACATCTTGAAATTTTGGGTTTTCTTAAAAGTTATTACATACCAAATAACTGCCATTCATTTAACTAATCAGTTACAAGAAGCGTTGACTGATTGCAGATATAACTCAGTCACATGACGATATTATTTCATAGGGGTCCTCACTTATCAACCAAGACAACAGGCATGGCAGAAGGATGCAGCTCTTCTGAGGTATTGGCCTTCTATTCTTATTATTATGCTACCTCAACTTTCAGGTCCAAATGCTGCATCATAAATTATATTTCTTTT